TTAAGTTGCATGAGATCACAGAATCATTTAGGTTGGAGAAGACCCTTAAGATCGAGTCAAACCATTAACCTAACACTAACAGATATTTATGTATGGGCACCTGAATCGTGCTTTATGAGCTTACTTGTAGGACTCTACAGGTGCAGTAGGCATTAGAGGTGCAGATGACCCCATTAGAGTCAATAGAAATCTATTGAAGAAGTCAAGGTGGAATTTGGCCCTTAAACATGGACATCTGGTTTAATTTTGGATGCTGTGGAATATCCCATCTGGCCTCCAGCTGTTTTGCCAGAAAGTTGTGGGTCTCCTATAAAATCTGTCATACCTGCCAGTCTTATTCAGATGCCTCAGATATCTAGAGCATCTCAAATGGCAGTAGGTACCCACACTTAGGCAACTGACTTCTTAGTGGAGCCTGAAATGCAGCTTCACCCACCTTACCGTAGACACCTGCTGTTTCAGCTGAATAGCTTTCTAAGCACCGACGGCTTTATTGAGTATATCATTCCTGACTCTGCGGTGGGAATTTGGATGCCTGATACACATGTAAACACCACAATACAGCTACCTGTATTTAGATGTTTTTATGCTGAATTGAACCCAACCCTGACACTAGGAACAACTCCCTGATAGTTTGAGAGATATTTGAGGAGTAGGGCTGGGAATAGAGGTTCTAGACTGATAAAAAAGTGGAGAATTACTGGGGTGGAAAGCAACTAGGACTGGAATTGAGACTCAGAACGGGATGGAGAAACCCTAAAATTTGGACTTGTCAGGGCAAGAATATGGGACTAGAATAAGAAGGTGAAATAGTGGAAATTTGAAATGACTAGGTAAGGAGAATAGAGCTGAAACAATGAGCCAAAGGCAGGTAGAGCAGTCCTGAGACCAGAAAGGTACAAGACAGAAGAAGTCCTACTTGGAAAGACTGGACAAACAACTGGACAGCAAGGCCAGTAGTTGGTAAATATTCTGCCCATTTCTGCTTGGAATGGAACCTAAATTTCCAGAATCTTATCATTCCTGTTCTCAGCGGGTGCCTTGGAGTATGTTTGCCTTAAAAACAGGAGCAGCACAATCAAAGAGAGTTTGTAGGGATAATTAGTAATTGGTGAGGACCTAATGTTCCCAGTGTAGGCATCTGAGAGGGTTATTAGCTTAGCCAACAGTTGTCTAGTCCCATGGACTGAATATCCATTAGTGACTGGAGCTCACTAACTGTGATCCTGAAGAGCATCTTTGCCTTAGTTTCAAAGTTGAAAGGAGTCTTTACACTCCAAGACTACTCCACGATGTGAACCAAAGCATAGTAAATCTGGACAAATATGCCATTTGCTTCAAAAACACACAAAAGATCCAAAATAAACCCCTAATTTCTGTGCTGGACGCCCCTGGTGTGACACCCAGCAGGAAAGTGTCCCATGTTCTTCTGGCCAGAAGCTGGCAGTGCTACTTCTTTCAGGTACACCATTGCCCGAAGGGACAGCAGCCTAAAGCAGCAGATCTAGAGGTGCTAACACTGTTGCCAGTACATGTAGGTGCCACATGTAAAATACCTGGTTTTTTGTTTACCTCCTTGAAGTCTAGCAGACTGTATTACAAGCTCTGCTAAACACAGTTGATACTGCATTGCCAAGCGTCTCCGAGTTAGGGAGCACCAGTCTTAGTTCAGATGCCTTATATGTATTCATTAAGAGGTGGTCTTTCATTCAAGCATCACTTTTCCTTTTTCCTCTTTCATTAACCAAAAGAGCTGTGTAATGAAGGAGACAGCAGGATGCAGAACTCCTACCTCCTTTACCTCCTTTGTGGCAGATGTGGAGAAAATACCTGAAATCTCTGAAGAAAATCCCTGAAAGAAACAGGGAACTATATGAAGTAAAAATGGATAGCTTCGTGGTAAAGGCACCTAAACTTCACATCCAAAAACGGACTGTGGTGAAGTCATTAATATTCTTCATAGATGGTCACAGTTTGTCCTCTTTTTCTGAGTATCTCATTTAAGACCTTGAAATCTGTCTTACAGATTGACAGTGTTTCAAAGCACCCACAAATGAAGTCCAGGAGTGCTATCCTTTGAGCATAGTCAATACTGTAATGCAGTGCACACTGGAAAACCAGCTCTAGGTGTTTCATACTACACCACATACTTTCAGATTAATGTATGTAGTTTGACATTAATTTCTGTGCTCACATCTGCAAAATGGCGATAAAATAGCCACTAAGGTGTTGCAAAACTAAATTAATAAATGTGAGCATGCAAATGCTGTAGTGGTGTGTACCAGAGGAGCGCACATACATAAGAAAATAAATTCTGTCTGTAAACCATGAAATGCGTAGTAAATAAATCCTCAGACCACACACAGTATTTAAGTAGAAAAATACTATCAAATAGCAGCTCATCAGCTGAATGTCATCGTGTCGGTGGATTGAATGAGTCAAGGATTCTTTGGATCATGCAATGGAAGTCTAAAATGTAATGCAAATGTACCAGAGGCAAGTTAAGAACACACATAAATCTTTTGTTTAGGCATTCCCAAATCTGTGAGTTCTCAAGTTTACAACCATACCTGGAGAACAGCCCATTTTGCAGTTCATGCAGACTAAGCCAAGTATTTTATCCACTTTTGTAAGTGTAAATGACTTTTCATCTTTTTCTGAATGGTCATGTGATGAGACTTTACAACTAGCCTATCAGAATATCTAATAATTTCAAGGACTACTCCAAATAAACTCCATTTCTTTTTTTCTCAGTTTCATAATCTTTAGTTTAGTGTCTGTTGGTAGTGGACTCCGGGGTTAAACATAATTCGGTCAGATGTTTGGCTTTCAAAAGGCCTGAATGCAGCTGGCCATTTTACATTGGCTTTTTTGAAGAATTTTTGCTAGTGTGACATACTGTGATTTATGAATCGAAGGCAAGATCAAAAGAAATTTTCTGCTAAAGAAAACAGCATACCTCGTTTCCTGCAATTAGTGGGTGACAAAGGAAACCAATAATGTTTGTTGACATGGGATAGTTTATGTTCTATGTTTTACATATGCAGAGAAGTATAACTTGGGTTGGTGTCTATGCAACTGAGATATTATATTTTGGATACAGCCAATAGTCAGTAATGTCCAAGATTTGGGTACGCTTCAACAAGAGACAAGTGGATTAGACAATAACTTGTAACATTTTGTGAAATGCAGTCTGGGCTCTTAGCCCACCTCTGCCCCAGTGGGTGCATTTATTTATATTCCACACAGCTACAAAAAAGATGGAATTGAAGGTTTTTGTGATGAAAGGAAAACTTCTTGTCCCCTAATTTATGTTAGCATTGCTCAATTATTCACTGAAGTACAGAAATGAAATATGAAACAAATGAGAGCAATGGAATTGGGCCAAGCTGTGTGTGTGATATGTTGAGCAATCAACATCCTTCTGGTACCTGCATTCAAACATTTTAGTATAAAGAGTCCTCATCATTAATCTTGTCCTGTATAGTTTTAAATCCATAGGTTTATGGATTTTTTTTATCCATACTCTCTCCCAGAGAACTACTCTCCCTTCAAATACTTTATAGAAATTTAAAAGCATAGCTATACATGCAAAGTTGAGATGAAAATGGGGGG